TTATAAGCAAATTCTTAAACAATTTCTGTTACTAAATATACACTTAAGAACAAGAATTAATCAGAAATCTTTCATATTAGAAAATGAGGCCTGCAAACATAACTTTCCTCTTTTTATAATAATTCTTCTGAAGAGGGTACATGTTACAAGATTATCATGTGTTCTGGGCCTGGAAGGCCTTAGCAAATACTGAATCGCATAAGGATAAAAGAAATACCTTCTGTTCTTTTCAGTTCAATTCAGGACCATCTCCATGAAGCTACTGACATCACGATAATATTTGCAGTCATCCATGTCTATGGGAGGCCAGGCCTCAAATTATGAGCATTATAATATACAACACTGTCTTGGTAGAACTGAGCTTCTGTTTTCTTCATAGTTATTTTGTATTCACTGCAAATAATACTGGTTTTCTGTGAAATGTAGTGAGATACAATTTAAGATCATCTGTGTTAAAAAAAAATCTGAAGAAAATTAAAAAAAAACTCAGTATGTTATAAGAAGACATGGAAAACATGAAAGCTACAAAGAAAAAAGTATAACTTTGGAAAGTTTAGCACAAGTTGATTTGCATCCAACTTTAGAGGAAAGACACAAGTGCACAAAAATAAAAATTACTGAAGATTATTTACAGAAAGCACTAAATTTATAATACTCAATACCTTCTAGGATAATACAAATACAATTATTTCTTGACATTTTGTGCATGGCGTCATAGTTTAACATAGTTATTTTCCAATCAAAGCAAATTTGCAAGTTTTACTGAATGCAAAAAAAGTATCTGAGGTCAAGTTTAAAGGAGTGAAACTTTGAATACTCAGTATTTCAAGGTAGGATCAGATTAAACATAAAAAAACCCAAAATCATAATTTTTAGGGAACATAATGCTTTCTGAGGTTCACTCATTTCTCACTTAGACATATCAGGAGAAGACGGGTAGAAGAAGTAGGGACATGACGTGGTCACACAAGGTAATTATCTCACAAAATGCCCAATGTTACAAGAACAAGGTGAAGCCTGTGCTAAAGGCAACTGTTGGATGGGGTCATATCTTCAAAAATTTCAGTGGGACAATTCTGAGATCATTACCACAGGCTTGCCTCCTTCACAGGATTTTTAGGCCCACTACAGCACTTTCTGCACTTAACTAACAAACTGATTAGATAATTTTTCTATGGTTTACATTTAAATTGAAAATATAGAGTAGTGATATTTTGAGAAAAACAAAGCTGCAAAAATCACTTTAAGAATGCACAAAAATCAATTTAAGAACATCTGTTCTCCCTAGTTTTCATTTTATTCAGAAATACTCTTGGTGTCAACGGGTATCACAAGACAATCCTGCTTTGCCAACAGCTCACTTTTGAAGGGGACAAAAGTAAACACTGATTCCTAGTAGACAACCTTGACAGCACAAATCAAATGCACCCCAGGACATCTGTCACAGACACGAGTGTTAACACCCCAGGGCTGCTAAAAGCTGGGGATGCTTTCTGACATCTCCACACCTGAAGGGAGCATCCACCCTCTCCTCCCCACAGGCACCCTTCAGGTTCTCTGCTCACTCTGAGGTCCGGAGACCAGAGGGGAATCACTGCTCGCTGGCTTGTCAGGCAACTGGTGATCCATTCTATGGAGACATGGCACCCACATGGTAGAGCAGGAAAGAACCCCTCTGCTTCCTCATGCCCAGCAATGAAAATGGAAAAAACTTTCCACCTTTTTCTTGTCTTCTTCACCTTTGTGATTTCTTAAATCTTTTTCTGCTTCTAACTTCATCAGTGTTCTGATGTACGACTCTGCTTTTTATGCTCCCTTTCTACCTTTGTTGCTCTGAATCAGTCAGGTGGAAAAGAAACATCTTATTACTGCTATGATTATCTGGAGAGTATTGAGGTCCACCACCAGAAGTCTGTGGGCCAGTTTGATTTAATCATATGAAGAACTAGGTTGATCCGTTATGGGCAATCTACTGTCATGGGGTCTCTACATCAGCAACACCAGATAACTGTAGTCTATTGAAATCCTTTTGCTCAAGCACCTTTTCCTTCACCACAGAAAACTCAACATATTTCTAAAAATGACACAGGGAGCGTAAGCTGTTCTTTTCTCCAATGCTGAACAATCTATACTATTTTTTCCTCTCAAATGTCTATCTCCCTACCTTCCTCTTTCTTTTTCTTCTTTCATGTGCTTTGATTTTGTAAGTTAATAGCAATTATCTTTTAGCCAGATAAGGATAGTAACTCAAGATTCAGTGTTAGTTTCCCAGCATTCTGAAACACAGCAGCATAAATGAGTAGAAACTCATCCTTTCCTTCACTGGAGACCTGAAGTTTGAAATGCAGGCATCAACAAGGCCAAGCTCCCTCTGAAGCCCTTAGCAAAATCCTTGCCTCTACAGTTTCCGGGAGCCTAGGAATCTTTAGATTGTTTATTTGCTTTCCTCTTCCCATGGCCTTTGCTTATGTGTCTGTGTCTGCACACAGCCTTCTTAAAAGGAAACTCCTTATCTAGTATGACTTTAAGTAATTACATCTGCAAAGATTTTTCCAAAGGTCACATTCTGAGATTCCATGTAGACATGGATGTGAAGAGGCACTATTTAAGCTAAGACAGATATGCATGAAACTGTTCTCTTTGGGGATAATCCCACATATTTCTGATTTCAATGTCATGCATTGCCTTTCTTCTATGCCACACTGATATACACAGTATTATCTACCAGTAAGAAGTTTTTGCTGGTTCAAACTTGCAAATGTGGTTGGTTCATTTTCCAAGAGCTTACTGTGAAAGCATCCTGGCATAAGAGGACCAGGAAGTAATGTGTCACTGGGACAGAAAAGTAAATTTTGTTAGATTAAGCACCTCAAATTCAGGAGGCTTAAATACCTCCTGACTTGCTGCAATAGCAATTTTTTTCATTTTTTCTTTTTTTCATTTTAAACTGCAATTTCAAAATCCTCCATATTCACATTTAAGAAACATTTGTTTACATTTTACAACTGATTAGAGTTTATTTATCAAATAACCTATTATTTGACATCTGAAAAGAGTCAGAAAGAATGTATATTCTTGTTGGAAAATTTGGGACAGAACTAGTAGGACAAACGTTCCCAAATTCTTTGCTCAGTGTTCAAATTGTACTTTTCATGTTAATAGAATGGATAAATTTCATCATGATCTTTCCATCTGAATACACTTCAGCTCTTTACTAAGGTACGAACAGTTATTGACATCACTACATTACTAGAACCCTGGAGAAATCTCCACGGGCAGGTTACTTGTTTTCTCATCATGTCATCTTGCCATGCTCTGTGCAGAGTCCATCAACTTTTAGTGTTACAAAATACTGTCAAGGCAAAAAACATTGTGATGCCCAACTTTTTCTAATTGCTTACACAGACACATACAGCCGTAGGCACGATCAAAACCAATGTTAAGTAGTGAGTGTTGAACAATAAAGACTTTTCCCTAACAAAAGAACAAACATGCCTTTACCTTCATTAGCGCACCACCGAACCTGAGACAGACAACAGGGTGTGGCTTAGACAGGCTGGGAAGAGAGGTGCAGCAGGCTCCCAGGAAGGACCCAGCTCCACCTCCAGGACCTTGTATGTGAAGGTCCTGCAAGCTCTGGGGTGCTGTGGACAGCTCAAAAGGACACAGACACAGGAAGTGCATGTGTGCCTCGTCCCAATAGTCTGCTCTGTGTCCTCCCGGGTGCACTTTTATTCTAGCCTTGAACTTTTGCTCTCTTACGTTTGTTCCAGGTTCACTCTGGAGAGCCAATTTCCTCCTCACCCTCTACCTTCACTTTTTAAACAGACTTTGCTGTGGGTATTGCTTGCCTTACGTGGTTCACTGTAGCAGATAAGAGGGCCTGAAGACTGTGCGGCACGCCTTTCCACACACAGAGACCCAACCACAAGCCTTCTGATCTGCTTTAATTCTGCACTTACACAGAAACACTACGATAAGATAACTGCACACTACTTCTGTTACAAACACAGATATTTAAAGTGATTTTATGTATTCTAATGGAGGAGTCTCACGCTCTAAAATGGGAATGAACACATGATAACTCCTCACCAGTTGCCTCAATAAACGATTCCATCTGTTTCCTTTAGTCCTAGACTATTGTATCATGAGAAGTTAATGTAAAGGAATGAACTGAAGGTGTGCTAAACCCCTTAACTTTTCTACCAATTTACTAATGGCACAGAACCAAAATAATTGTTGACATGTTGCTTTTTTTGTCATTAATATTGATCCTATTTGTAAATCAATTGCACTGTGCACTAAGACATTTTCAGTGTTGCATCAATTGTTAAAACCAACATTAAAATATTCTTGGAACCTATGTCCCTCTATGGTTAGCTTCACTGCTTAAAGGAAGATCACTGTTACATCATTATTTTACTACAACAACATGAAAATACTTTATAACTGGTCAGAATTTGAAAATGAATATTGAGAATGTGCATCAAATATGATTTTACAGAACTTAAAAACACCGTTTCACGTATAGTCTATTCACTTAATCACAGAAAATAATTTTAGCAGGAAAAATGTGTGCACATGCTAGAGGCTTGGAGATGCCAATTTTATAATATTCAGAATATTAAAATACTGAGAGTATTCACTAAGATTTCAGTAATTACATTAGTTGGGAGTGGGGGTGGATATGAACTGCCAAACTGAGAGATTTTTATAGAACTCCAAAAGATTTTTTACTTATTGTGTATTTTCATTTTTTTTATTCTATCTCATGAAACACTTTTTCTCATGGTGAACCTTAGAATTATTTCTTTCTCTTCTGACAAGATTTCTTCTGTCTAATAATTTTTGTGTATGTGACTATAAAACTTTAGATATCCTCAAAAGAGAAACTGGATTTCTATGTAAAATGTCCCTTCTCTGTGTTTAGATTTACAAAATACAAAAGGGAAGGCAACATGATATTAGGTCATCAGCAAGAAAACTATTCCCAAATGAGAAAAGCCAACTTGAGTATTATTTTCCCAGTACCATTTTAAAGGCCTCATGAACACAGCACAGGAAAAGGCATGTACGAGGTCATCCCACTCTCTTGACAGCGTGTGAGGGAAGCGTGGGGTTGAGTTGCTTGAGCTCTGGCTGCTGAGTCAAGACAGAACCATCAAGGTGACAGTGCCCTTGGTTCGCTTAAGGATCGCAACAGCGTCTTCATGGGTGACCCCTTCCAGACTCTGTCCATTGACGGCGATGATCTGATCACCCCGTTTCAGACGCCCATCTTCTGATGCTGCTCCCTGAAGTACACAGTGGGGCTGTTTACTTCTTAATGGATGCAGTCTTACAACTATACCCAGAAAAATGTTCTAAACAAGAATATAAATTGCTTTTCATCTACACACACATTGCTGCCTGTGGGTAAAATGGTGAACATACACCAAAAGGCCTTTTTTCTAAATGGTTTTAGCACTAAGATTTCAATTTGAGGGAAAAGCTAGCAGCCAATAGATTAGATGATTTTTTGGCTGTTCCACACAGGAGTTGATTGAAACTCAAATTAATAAGGAATATTTGGAAATTTGCCTAGTATGAATGATTTCATAGAATCCAGGATTTTATGTCTTGCAAGGAAAACCTACATGAAGAAGACCAAAGGTCAGGCAGGAACAAAAACAGTTTCCCAGGGCAAGGGCACGAAGACCACAAAACCTAAAACCCATTTGCAGAAACATAATGTCCACATGATGGTCAATTAGGGCACAAAAGGTGATTTAAAAACCCATGCTGTACTGCTTGCCAAGTTCCATGAGGTGCTGGGTTTTATACCCAGCACTGCAACACACACACACACACACACACACACACACACACACAAATTCTAGCCTTTGAAGGACTAGTCAAGCTATCTTGGTTCTTACTTCTAAAGGATAGATTCTTCATATTCCTTTGCCTAACTGATTATGATTAAATACAGACATTGCTGTTTGAAAAAGAACCCTGCCTTAAGGCATACTTATAGAAGGCAATTATGCAATTAAATATAAGATAAAAAATATGGAAAAGTTAATGAGGAATCCATAATGATGAAATTCTTAAAATATGTTTTAACTAGCATGCCTTAAATAAATTGTTCTTAGGCTGAAGAACAGGACTGCAAGATCCTTTTATTCGCTGGCAAATGCCACTTGTATTTTTGAACATACCATTTTTTAAAAATGTCATAAATTAAGCCTACGGCTAGCATGCTATAGGTACAGCACTTCAAATTGTTTAAAATAGTCATATTTTCCAAAACAATAGAATAAAAGCTTCAAAACTAAAAGGATGATGGTATTAATGCAAAGCCTCTGTATTAAATTTTTAAACAGGCTTACAATAAATTTTATTCCTTTTCACTGTAAAATTTTGAGATTCTAGATTTTCCCCTGCAGGAAATTTTACAAGTCTATACTTCTAAAAATGTCTTAGCAACAAAACAGCAACCACAACATAGGTTGAGATAATTTTCTTTGGATAGTTTTATCAACTCAATGTCTTTACTCTTATTCTAAATATTCTTACTATTTACTTTTACATAAATGACTTTCTTTTTTAATTATCAAGTCCTAGAGTACAAAGAGCTCATTTTCTGTGGAACAGGGATATGGCTTAGTCCAGATTTTTCTTTAATAGTCTTTGCTTTACTGAATTAAACTTCTATAACAAATGCCCTATTAGTTAATTTGCATGTGTATTTTATGTGCTTTTCTGTGTCTATTTTGTGTTTCACAACAAATGTAAAGAAAAGTAAGTGCTAGTGTTCCACAGCAGATATATTTAAAAATGCTACTATCAAATTACACAACTTATTTTCAAAGCAAAAACATAGGCTTTACTAACGGAGGTTTATTAATTTATGAATATTATTGAAAGTTTCTGTGGCATTTCAATTTGAGCCTATTTTCCTTTATAAACAACTGAAGTTCAAATTAGACAAAAATATTTAATGGCCTGTTCCTGTAGGGAGTTGACAAAGAAAATTATCAACTGTTAACCATTTGGCATTACCTCAGGCCATAAATTAATAAGCCAGCTGCTGATCACTGTTAATGAATGTTTAGTAGGGAAGAGAACAGTTCAAATTTGCAGTCTTACCTTTGCAAATACCGTCTTAACGTAAATGGGTAAGTCTCCATGAGGGCTGCCATGTCCTCCCACTATGCTGAAGCCTAAGCCATCTGGCCCTCGTTCTAACGTAACAGACTTACACTGAGGAGGTCTACAGTCAAGGGGAAGAAAAAGAGTTTGGAAATTAAAATACATTTATATTTTCATATATATTTATGTATTTTAATTACATCAATATACATTTATAATTACACCTACAAACCTAGAATCACTTGACATCTACAAAAGGCAAGCATCATTCTCTGTCCTACTCACAGGGAGCATACTGAGGTATTTGGGGATACCTAAATGGTCATGCATGCTATGCACAGTATTTGAAATTTACATAACCTAATGAAATCCTGCTTAATATCCTAATTTTATGACTCATTTACAGCTGCTTTAAACTAACATGTTCATGGCATGTTTTTATGGCACAGAGAAGCTGATTATTTTGTCAGTTCATTTAAAGTGAGAAGCTAAAATGAAAGGCCTACAGTGGAATAAGCTGTAAGCACCAGTACTCTCAAAGATCCAAGAGAGCAGTCAGTCAGTTACAAGCATGTAAACACTGCATCCAATTATTTATACACCCTACATGCTCCTGCACTCTTCCTATTTTCCAGGGCCATTTGAATCAGCATTGTTACCTAATACAGTGCTTTATTCTTCCGGCAAAGGCATCCATATAAAAGTAGACAGTGCTAGAAAATTTTCAAAGGTGTTTGACTCATGCCATGTCACAGAAGGGTGCTCTCCCCCAGTCAGAGACTCCAACATGGCAAGGGCAGAGTATGCATATCTATCTCCCCTAAAGTACGAATGACCTGGAAAACTAATTCTAGCATGATTTTAGAGGAGATATGCCCTGTGAGCCCTATGTGTCCTCTCAAGTCATGCTAGAACCTATTTTTCAGGTAGGTCTTCTTCAGAGAAACAGAGTATCTATCTATCTAAAGGTAGGTCAGTCGATCGGTTTCTCTGCCAGCCTGCCTGTCTAATCTATTTATTTTGATTAGTTGAATCCAAAGCACAATTATTTAATAGTTAAAAGCACCTGGTTTGCCTATGTCAAAGCACATTCCTTATTATTTCCCCTCTGTATAGATGCCCATTCCTTATTATTTCCCCTCTGTATAGATGCTGCTAGGAAAATGTGAGTCCTTGGGAACATGAGGCACCAAGCAGACTACATATTCTCACCCCAAATCCTCCTGGAATACAGCGCCTGATGTCAGCGCAGTGAAAGGAAGAGCAGCCCCAGCATGCTCCTGCTGATGACCTGTGACCACGCTCACATCTCCTCCGGCCACCACCTGTGGACAGAAGGAGAAAGAAGAAAGCAAAACACATGTTCATGTGGCTAGGGAGACACCAGCAGTTTTTCTATAAAAAGAGCACTTGGATTACATGTATATTTTACTATCCACTTAATCATTCCTGTGGGCACAAAATACAACCAGAGGTATGCAGGGAGGAGGAGAGGAGAGGAGAAGGGAAGTGCACGACTTAAGTGTGCTGCGTTCCTCAGGGGAGCCGGTGCACGTCCACAACATACTTTAGTTATCTTTTTCCTCCCTTTCTCTGCCCTTCCTTTCCTTTCATCCTCTCTTGGCCCCTTGCCTTTTGCAGAAGACCCATCTCTCTCGGTCCTATAATCTGCCTTTATTTTGCTCTTTAATTACACTTTGGGCTTCTCACAAAGAAGAAGCCATGTAGCACATAAGCTTGCGGGTCTGACTTATTTCATAAGACATCTTGGTCCCCAGAGCTTCCATTCTCCTATCCGGGGCTTGAGTGTGTCCACCTCATTGCTGAGCAGTATCACATTTTCTTTGTCCATTTATCTTTTGATAGACACACAGCTCACTTCCGAGATTTAGCTATTCTGAGCTGTGCTGCCGGAAGCACAGCTGTGTATGCATTACTGTCACATGATGTCTTTGAATCTTTCAGGAAGACACCTGGAAGGAGAGCTGCGGATTCAAATGGAACTTCTAGTTTTAGTTTTTAAGGAAATAATGACTTCTTCATAATGACTTCCATAGTGTTCGTAGTTTACACTCCCACCAATTATGCAGAAGGTTTGTTTTTGCCTGCAGCCTCACCAGTATTTGTTATTATTTGATTTCTCATTGACAGCCATTCTTTCTGGAGTAGGGTGGAATCTCAGTTACTTTAATTTGCATTTCTCTAAGTGCCAGAGGTAGTGAGTATTTTTTCTTTAATTTTATATATTTGGTACAGGGTCTCACTATGCAACTCAGACCCACAGTAATACTCCTGTTTTAGCCTCCCCAGAGCTGGGATGATAGGTGTGTGCCACCATGCCTAGTCTCAAGTGGCCGGCTTGGTGCTCCCTGATGGGGCCAGCACATGTGGCACCAGGGATTGAACACAGGTCCTTACGTTTGCCAGGCAGGCACTTAAGATTGCTGAGCTAGCTCTCCAGCCCCTTAGTATTTTTTTTTTTTTTTACTGTTTATTGTTTAACTTTAATTCTTCTGAGAAATATCCATTTACTTCAGGTATCAATTTTGGGGAGCTCCTTTATTTTGGAGAGTTCTAATTTTTTGAGTTCTTTATATATTCTAAATATTAGTCCTCTTTCTGAGGAATTCCTATGCAATTATTTTTTAAAGGTGTTTAGAATACAAGCCTTATACTCACGCCACTTAAAATCCTAACAAGTTATCACTTACTGCTAAGAGCTTATACTTTTCCTCCTTGGATATAAAGCATGAAACAACAAATTTACCAGGATAAATATTATGACTATTTTTCAGACATATTTTTTGAAACTCTCAGCTTAATCACTGATGTTCCGGTGTCTAACAGCATGACACCGAATCATTTTTACCACATTAATTGCAAAGCTCATGTGTCCTCAAGCTATCCATTTCTGACCATTACTTGGGATGAAAACCTTACCTGCATTTCAATGGAGCCAGAGGCATTTTTCAGTAAGTTCACTGCTTGAGTGTGAGTCATCCCCTCAGTTGAGGAGCCACATATAGTGACAATCCGATCTCCAACCTGCAAGGCAGAGAAATAGCAACTACATGAGCAACTGTAGAGTGGGACTCTGAGACCACACAGTCATTTCTTTATCTACTCTCTACACACACACTGCCACCAACTAATGAAATATAATGAAGGAAGCTAGTAATTTCAAACTCTACAAGCAATCACAAAAAAGCTGGGCATAATAATTTCTATAGTCTTCAATGGAGGAGAGAGAGGAATAAAGTCATTGGCCCTTCAGTCCTTTTTTCTAGGATAAGACACTATAGATACTACACTTAATAGGATAGTTACCCCCTATTGCATCACCCAGGAACCAAGACTTCTCTGAATGTCATCACTATAACTATTAGATGTGACTCTAAATCAGGGTTGGCAAGCTAAGGCTCACAGGCCAAATGGGGCCAACTGCCTATTCCGGTTAATAAAGTCTGGCTGGAAGACAGCCACGCTCATTTGGTGGCTCTCACAGGGCATAGCTGATCAGTTGCAGCAGAGCCTCATGTGACACACAAAGTCTAAAATATTCACTATTGAAAGCTTTGCTGACCCTGTGAAATGTGTACAATCATGTTTTAAGTGTTAGAAACAGATTTAGACATCAAACAGGCTGGAGGGCTAGGGATGAAGTTTAGTGGTAGAGTGCTTGCCTAGAATGCATGAGGCTCTGGACTGGATCCCCAGCAACACACACACACACACACACACACACACACACACACCAGAATCATTCCCAACCTAGAGCTTATTTAAACTTAGATTTGATTATGTTCAAAGACCTTCTTTGAAGCATGATGTCATAGATATTTGATTTTAGGGAAACTGAATGCTTTTAAAAGAATATTCACATGATTTCAGCACTGGGAAGTTGGCATAAATTTCATCATTTGGATAATCCCTAAGTTTTAAAGGAAATTTTATACAGTTTTAGAAAATTCTAAATGATATTTACATTAAATTTCTGTAATTTCATAATCAAATACAACACTTTTCCATTTAATAAAGTTAAATCTGCACATAAACCAGTGACTCGCACTAGGGAGCCGCTTCCCTTCATATTCGAGTCCTGAACTTACCACGTCTGCTTTATCTTGTCTCGCACAGTCTTAGAAGTGCAATGAAAATCTTTTAGGAGACAACCGCAAGTCTTATCATTTCATTTACTTTTAAATTTGCCTTAATAGTATCATTTTTTTCTTCATTTTAATATTCCTTGTGATTCACCTAAAGCAAGTCTTGCTGCAGGTTGGCTTGGGAACTTAAAAAAATACATTTAGAACCCCCTTGAAATACACAGCTAGATTCGAAATTACAGAAGACTTTGGTAAATGGCTAAAGGCTACTATTGGTTTTGGCACACTTACTCTGAGTTTCTGGGTCTGTGCGGCAACGCCATTTGGGTGCATCATTGCAATAAATATGGGCACATCACCGAGCGGGCTGCCCATTCCTCCTGCAATGCTGATTCCCAGTGAGTCAGCAGGCCCCTGCCATGAGCAGACAGAGCACTTGGGTCACAGTGGCATTTTCAACTTTCATTCTCTGGTATAACATTCTACTGTTGACTCTGATGTTCCAGGGAGGAGGGTGGAAACTGCCTTCCTTTATTTGATACAGATCCTTACTGTGGTTTAGGAAAATTGCGGTCAGAAGGCAGAAGAAACCAAGATACACTACTGGAAATTACGTTGTGGAACTGTGAACTCACAAAGTGAGCAGCCACAGTCACGCCAGGAGTGCGCCCTACGGGCACTGTGACGGGAGCAAGGCCAGCCTTCTCCATCACAGATCCTCACTTCCGCAACATGGAGCCTTGACGCAGGCTATGGTGACGCGGCGGGCCCTGCAAGGAGACGTGTGTCTAGAACAGCGCTCACCAGAAGCAAAGCCTCAGCGAGAGCACTGGATTTTATTTTCTTTTATGTAAATGTCTGTCAGGGAAATCTTTCCAGAAAGGCAGAGAAGCATCTATTGAAGAAAAATTTACAGAGCAGTGTGGGAGGGGAGAAGCGGCCAACTGTTCCGTGTGGGGCCTGGCTGATGCTATTTGGGCATTATAAAATATACAGAAAATGACTCTTCAACTGGGGAACTAAGACTAAGAAATTCAGTAAGACTCCAGTGACCACCTGTACTTTAAACACCACATATAGATATTATTATATTTTTAAACAGGCATGATAAACAGTGAGATGTTAACAGGAAAATAGAAACCTGAAGATAACAAGTTACCTTTTTTATTTCAACTGTTCTTAATCCCTGTATTTCAGATGCTACTGTGAGACAAAATAAGATAAAACATAGTCATAAAGTGTTCTTAAAGTTCACAAATTATAGTCAACATATTAAGCTGGCTAGGACTAAATGTTCTCAGCATTTTTTTTGAAAGGAGATGCCAGTTTTCTAGCAGCAGATATGACTAAGACTGTCTCATGTAAGAAATCTCTACTACTCTAGTTGAAACATTTGTACATACCACCCCATGTTCGTCTTCTCATTGGAAGCACTATCTCACTGCATGATCCACTCTGAGTCAATGACAGAATGTGCTTTGCGCAGAAAGACGTGTGTACTGCTAAGAGGCATAAAGTCATGGATGCACTAAATAATCCAGGGAAGCAAGTGCCTAAATTTCTGGGATGGCAGTCACATTATAAACAGAAACTGCCATATGGTTAGTTCCTTGAATTTGAACAACTCTCTATCAATGTACCATGCCAAAAGCTCTGTGCGCCATGATTTCATACAATTAAATCACCAGAGGATATTAATTTTTTCTAAAATTTCTCATGGAAAAAGAAAGCTTTGTTTAATGGCATCTTTCAATGTATTAGTGTTATATTAAACAGAAGAAGGCAATAAAGTTAAACACCAAATCTGCAGAGTAAGAAGGAACTCTGACAGGATCTTCATGACACTGCTTCACGTATCACGTAGGGTAAACAGATCCATTTCATCCAGGTTCCTGCCCATACATTCTGTATCCATACTAAGGCCTGAGACTACGTGGAGACAAGGAAGAGCTCGGAAGGGAACAGGAGCAACACCAGTAACAGACAAACAGAACCGGGCTACAGCTCAGCGGATGAAGCACCTGCATAGGCAAGCACGGGAAGCAGGGTTCAATCCCTGACTCCACATGCTGTGCCTGCCCTGCCTCCAGGTGCCCAGAGCTGCCCAAGACTGGGCATGGTGGCACATGCCTTAATCCCGGAAATGTGGAGGCTGACAACAGGAGGATCACTATGAGTCCCAACTGCAGTGGGACCCTGTACCAAATACATACAAAACTCCAAAAAACAAAAAGCCAGTGCTGACAGCTAAAATCCTACTTAAAATACTGAACCAATCTTACAGGCATTCCTCTTTGAGCTATATTCCTGTGACTCAGATGTACTTGTTCCAGAAAGTGGAAGAGTGAAAGATGACAGGCTGCCTTCACTCACCTATAAATACACAAACATTATTTTAGGAAGTTTTGTAAAACATGTTTCCCTATAAACACTACTAATTATAGAAATCAATTATTTTACTGCATGTAGAGAAAAATAACATTAAGAAATAGTGGCACTTGGTAATTTGAAGAGCAATTTAAAAAGTTTCTACTTTTTTTCCTTATTAAGAATAAGTTACTTAACATATAGTTAGGTATTTATATATAACAAATATTTGTATAATTAAAGCAAAAAGGGTAAAAATATTGATTCCAACTTACGTGAAATTCTAGTGGATTTACACAGCCTCAATCCTCTCTATAATTAAGCATCTGATGCACAAAAGTAGGACTTACATACTGAAGATTCGGGCCAGTTAGCAGGAAGATTATTGGGGATAATGCAGAAAGTTAGCATATGGTCTGGAAGGACAGACGAGGGCAGTGGGCTGAGGTCGTCAGAGGGCAGTGCTGAGGAAGGGGCTTGGTAAACATCCTGAACCATATTAATGTACTTTCATAGACGGGGATAAGCACTTACAACTACCCAAATGGGATTTCAGCCCAATACGAACTAATGACTGCTATTTCTTGTACAATATCTTCAAGTTTTTCCTGGCCAGGCTTCATGTACATGGAGGACAATGTAGAGATACAGATTTGAAACAAAAGTCTGATGTCCCAAGAGAGCAGGGAACACTGGACTGAGCCCGAGGAGGGTTGCTGTCTGTTTGCAAATTCCCGGAAAGCAGGGACCCAAGGCAGCAGATAACAGCTTCTCCTGCAGGCGCCCTGTCCTTTGATCCCTTGCTTGGGATGTTATGGCTAGCATTTGTGTGGACCTAGTGTTAGGCAAATGGTGGAAGTCAATAGAGATAGTAGTTTGTATTCACTTATGTAATTATGCATATTCCTTAGTCTGCCCTTACCCCTCAATAAATGTGAGATGCTTCTGAGGCTCTGGGCTCACTTGGAGGGAGACTAATCTCAGTGAGACCCCTGAAGCTACATTCATCAGGTCTTCTGGTCGTTGTTTTCGGCACCAACCCGTAACGTACAACAGGACAACGCCAGCATGTTATGGGAAAGCAGTTCCTTAGAACAGCAGGAAATGGGGAGCCTGGTCCTCTGCCCACTACCACCCTGTCTTCCCTGTCTCCAACTCCACACTTGTAGCTCTGCCACACTGCTAGTGGAGGGGATCTGCATCCAGGATCCTGGCCAGACCCACGGGATGGCACGGATGAGCTCCTCGATGCGCAGGCAGTGCCACCCTGGTGAATCCCGGGGCTACCCACCTGGCTGCTTTGAGAAGGCCTCCTCTCGGAGTGAAACGGACCAGCTTTGATTCTTCCCACTTCCAAGGTCACTGTGCCTAGGGAACACTGAGAGAGTGGTTGTTTTATAGAACTGTTCAAGTAAAATTCTATCATCACCTTTAGGAATACATTTGGTTCTTCAGGACTAAGTTTTACAAAGCATCTTCCTTTTAGGATTTCCGTAGGCAAGGATACCTCTAATCCTTTGTGGAAAACGTCTATTTAATTTTATTAGTATATGTTTGTGATATACACTAATAACATTCCCTTTGGGAAATTAGTATATACTTTCAAATTTGGGCGTTTCTGACACCTTTTCCCAACCAACCTCCCCTCTCTCTTCATTTCCTGTTCTCTAGGTCTCTTTACCATTTCCAAAAGGCCAAGCTCCATGTTTCCTATCATCTCTCCTTTACACTTTGGATTTCTCATAAAAGCTACTGACTTTTTGGCTGAATAACTCCACTGCGTGCATGAAGCACACTTTCCTCCTCCGCTCCGTTAGTGGCCACCTGGCCTGTCCCATAGCTTGGAGCTTGTGAGCCGCACTGCCAGGAACGTGGCTGGGCATGGATCACTGCTACGTCTCAGCTCTTCAGGAAGACAGAGAAGCACAGCTTTGGGGGAATTTCTATTGTAAATTTTTCAGGAATCTTGGCACTGATTTCCACAGGGTTGTACCAGTTCACAGTGAACCAACAATGTGGAACGGTTCTGTTTTTCCCACACCCTCATCAGCTTGTGTTGTGTGTTGAGTACTTGATGACAGCCATTCTTACTAGACGAAGATGTAATTGCAGTGTTCTTTTGATCTGCATTTCCTTAGTGGCCAAAGATACTGAAATTCTTCTTACTATACTTACTGGCTATTTGTACTTTTAAAAAATGTCTATTTCAACTGTCCATTTTCTGATTCTTTTATTTTTATGAGGTCTTTTTTAAAAGTTCTGTACTCTAGATATTAGTCCTGTAACAGAACAGTGGCTAGTAAATTTTATCTCCTCTCTGCGGGTTGTTTCCTCATTCTGTTGTTTTCTTCACTGCATAAAGCTTTTTAATTGATATATTCTGATTTGTTGATTCTTGGCAGTTATTTCTTGCACAATTGGGGTTCTATTCAGAAAGTCACTGTATATTTCCATGTCAAATTTTCACCTACTTTATTTTCCACTAGATTCAGTATTTCTGTTTTCATACTAGGTTTTTGGTCCACTTGATTTGGCTTCAATTAATTAATTAATTAATTTATTTATTTTTTGGCAGAACCGGGGATTGAACTCAGACCCTTGCGCTTGCCAGGGAAGTGCTTATTCTACTGAGCCATCTCCCGGCCCCTTGATTTGGCTTTAGAACAGGGTGAAAGAGAGGGATCTATATTTCTTCTTCCCTACTTGGATAACCAGTTTTCTGCAGCACCATTTATTAAACAAGAGGGTATCTTTTCTCCAGTATTTAGTTTTAACCACTTTGTCAGAGGCCAGATGTCTAAACAGGAGAAAAGGCTACTTTTGTGTCTTCTATTCTACCCCATTGGTCTGTCTGTTTTCATGTCGTTATCATGATGCTTTCTTAATCACTGTAGCTTTACAACAGAATTTAAAATATGTGATTGTGATGCCCCTATTTTGCTCTTTTTCAGATTTCTTTTGCTATTCTCAGTCTGTACTGGTTCCATATACATTTACAATTTGTGAAGTTGTTATGAATGGTTTTATTAGTTTGAGGTGAAGTCCTTATATATTTATTTCCATCAGGGTTTTTATCATGCATAGTGCTATATTTTTGTCAAAGGCTTTTTCGGTATCTACTGAGTTAACTGACTTTTACCTTTCCTCGTATTTATATGATGCATTCCATTTTTTGCTTTATGCATGTTCTGCCACCCTTACATTCCTGTGGTGAAGCCAACTTGGTCATGACACATGCTCTTTCCAATGGTTTGGTGTTTTCTGTTTGCCAGTAACTTATTTAAGATTTTTATACATCTGTGTTCATTAACGATAATGGCTTGTAGTTTTTTTTTTTTTTTTTTTTGGAGTCCTTGTCCAGTTTTTGTATCAAGATACTGTTGCTTTCAAACAATGACTTTGGCAGTGCTCTTTGTCTTTCAACCTCATGGGAGAGTTTGAGAAGTACTAGCATTAGTTCCTCTCTGAAGTTCTGGAACAACTCAGGGATGAGTCCATTAAATACTAGGGTTTTCTTAGTGTATTTTTATAGCTGCCTCGATTTCATTGCATGTTATTGGTCTACTCGGGGTTTTTATATCCTCTTAGTTCAATTTTAAGTCATATGTGTCTAGAATTTGCCCATTTCTTCTAAATTCTCCAACTTATTAGAATACAAATTTTCCAAACATTTTCTTATAATCCTGTGGATTACAGTGACAGCCATTGTTATTTTGCCTTTTCATGTCTAATTTCACTGATACAGCTCTTTCTTTTGGTATGTTAGGCTTTACTGATTATGTTTATCTGCTTGAAGTACTAACTCTGATGAGTTCTTCTAGAATTTTGAATTTGGATTGCTCTTATTTTTACTAGGTCCTTCAGATACATCATCCATATATTAAGTGGTAATACTCTATTTCTCTAATGAATGTATTAAGAGCTGTAAACTTCCCTCTTTTTAAAATTTTTTTTTTAAATTTTTTATTTATTTATGTGTGTGTGTGTGTGTGTGTGTGTGTGGCCAGCTCAGCCCACCAGGGGGCGGGGCTGGCTGGCATGTGGTGCTGGGGGATTGAACCGTGGTCCCTGTGCTTTGCTAAGCTTGTTCTAAGTAGGTGCTTTAGACCAGTAAGCCATCTCACCAGCCCCAAACTTCCCTCTTAGAACTATTTGTATTGAATCTACAGGTTTTGGTATGTTGTACTATCATTGTTATTTGAAGGAACTTTTAAACTCCTACCTGACTTCTCTTATACATTGATTATTTAGTAATATATTGTTTAATCTTCATGTGTTTGTGTTGTTTCTGGATTTTTTTGTTGACACTGATTTCTACTTTAATTCTATTGTGATTTTATAGGCTCTAAGAGATTATTCTTTTACTTTCACTTAAACATGACTTATGGTCTAAGACACCATCTATTTTAGATAAAGCTCTACAGATTACTAAGAAAAAGTGGCTTTTAAAAAGCATTTAACTCAGGCCAGCAAGATAGCTCAGTGGACTAAGTGCCTACTTAGGCAAGCTCAGGGACCGGGCTTCAATCCCTGGCACCATATGCTCTGCCAGCCCCACTCCTGAGTGTACTGAGATGGCCAGCAAGACTGAGTATCATGGTGCATGCCCATAATCCCAGTGCCGGGGAGGCTGAAAACAAGAGGATCACTATGAATCTAAGATGCGTAGTGAGACCTTGTACCAAATTTTTAAAAAAGTAAAATAAAAAGCATTTAACTCAACAATAAGCAGCTGCAGCAGCTCCACATGTCTCTTTTTAAACTAATTCATGTTCTTCTTAAAAAAAATTTTTTATTAGTACATGTCTGCAATGCACACAGTTTACAATCGTGTGTGTGTTACATGTACATATTACAGTGTGCTTACTTCAAAAATTTTTCTCCTTCATCTTCCTTCCCTTTCTCCCTTCCCCACTGGTTTACTTATCCCTTCATTCACATTTATTTGTATTACTTTGTACACTGTTTACATTACTTGGGGTTTATTCCTCACCCCTTGCCCTTGTTTCCTTAGATCACTTTCCTTTTGCAAGAGATTCATACTCTTGGCCCTTTCTACACATCCTATACCATTTTTTTTTGCTTATACACTGCTTCAGTCAAATGAGAGGTACTGTATAGTATGTGTACATCTGATTTATTTTAGTCAACATTGTATTTTCCAGGTGCATCTACTTTTCTACAAAAATATTTGTCATTCTTTATAACTAAGTACTATTCCATTATTTGTAAATATACATACTTATACATATTTATACATATCAGATTTTCTTTACCCAATTATCTGTTAGTGGATAGAGAGGCTGCTTGTAGGATTTAGCTATTATGAATTGTGCTGCTATAAACATTGGTATTCAAATACTGCTGTAGCATGGTGACTTACAGCAATTTCAAGAAGATAGCTTTCAGGGGAATAGCTGGGTTGTATGGGTAAGAAATCTCCTTACTGCCCAGGGACGGTGGCACATGCATACAATCTGATCACTTGGGAGGCTGAAATGGGAAGATCACCTTGAGTTTGAGGTCATCTTGGGCTACAAAGTGAATCCAAACCAAACCAAAACAAGAAATATCCGCAATGATTTCCATAATGGTTGTACTAGTTTATATTACTCCATGTATGTATCTTATTACCTCCAGATTTATATGGAGACTATTTCTATCAAAATAAAGCAAAATTGAGAACTAAGAAATTATCTCTTAAGTACACTAATCCAGAAAGATTGAAGAAACTGAATAGCTCAGGGTAGAACAAACAAACAGAAACAATAACCACAATTGCAACTCACTTCCCCCCCAGTAGCAGGATTACTCAGACAGTTTGGCAAACACTCTATTACTATGTGGTAGTTGAGTGGATTTATTATGCAACACTTAAATATTACTACAAATACAAAATAAAAATTGACTATTTTCCTGTCACCCATTTCAAATAAATAACAGGCATTCAAGGAATACTGTACAGTCTAATACTGAAAGAAGCATAAGGAGGTTTTTGAGACACTTGGCCATTAAGGTAAAAGCACTGGTTTAAATTTAGACTATAGAGCCAGCCAAATAGCTCAGTGGATTAAAACGCCTGTAAGCAGGTGCAGGGCCTGAGGGTTCATTCGATCCCCTGGCCTGCCATGCCAGCCCTGTCCCTGGGCATGCTGAGACGGCAATTGAGACTGGGCATAGTGGTGCGTGCCTGTAATCCCAGCTCTTGGGAGCCTGGAAACAAGCGGATCACTATGAGTCTGATCTAGCAGTGAGACCCTGAACACCTTGTTGAGCCTTTCCTAAAATACAAAAGAAAAAATAAAAAAAAAATAAATTTAGACTATGATTTACTGTGTGACAATGAAAGTCTAACTTTGATAATTTCATTATTTTGCATCTTTAAACTATAGAGTATTACAGTTTCTTGTAAGCCATGTACAACATTATGTCAGTGTCCAGTGTACAATAACACTAAAATAAAAATTATGAATTAATATTCTGATGAACATCTTGAAGATGTTCTGAACTCTTGAGCATGTAGATCACAAATCAAACTTTGAAAGGTCCAAACATAATTTATAATATCCACAATTTGGTTTTACTTTGTTGATTAAAAAGCAGTTTTAAGTCAAAACTGCTTCTTGCACTATTTAAGTTTTCAGTTTATATAAGTACAAGGGTAACAAGTCTTTGCATTGATTATTCATTATGCAATATTAGAACTCAGTTACCTATAACATGGGTCTTTCAAAATTAAAGGGTTTTGATCATTGTAAGTATTTGAAGATAGTTTTTGCATTAAAAAGCAATTCAATCTAGTTGAAAAATTTGAAAATATAATAAGGATAAAAGGAGGGTAATTCTACCAACTTCCTCATAATTATCATTATGTAATCTGTGATTTTATTTTACATAGTTGCATTGACATTGTAAATTTGTCTTCTCCCTGATTATTTTCTCTTGTTCTAGTTGCCATTGACATTGTTTTACACAGTCTAATGTCCTTCACAAATTTGAAATAAATAAGACAGCAGATGTAGTTTTTTGAAGCTGTGTTGCTTCACATTTTCCTGTTTTGCAAATAACACTTCAAAGAACTCTATGTGGGTAAAATTTTATTTATAGAGGATTTTTAAATGGAGCATTGCTAAGTCAAAACAATAAAGAGCAGCAAAGACAAGTAAGTTATGTAAATAAGGTTGTCATATTCTGTTGGGGGCCAGGCTGAGTAAGGGTTAGATTGCTGTCCACAGTGCTCAGAAGACAAGGGCAAGGAAGGCTCTCACTCCCTATTCCACAGGAATAAACTACTAACCTTACAGATAAGACAGTTTTCCCAATTAACAAGATCTACTGCCCACAAAATGTCTTTGTTCTGAGTTCTCAAGGCCTTGCTCAGCTTCCTGCCTTTAGCTCAGCATTTCCCATCATTTGCCCACCACCCCTACCAAACTTGTTTGAAATCCAATAAATACATGCAATCCAGAGAAGTCTTTGTCTTAGCTCCAGGACAGTTCTGGCCTTCCAGGACCCCTAAAGCCATAGTATTTGTTGCTTCCTTAAGCCTTTATCATAACTCCCCTTTTAAGAGATTGGGAGCCAGCAAAACTGCCAATCATACATTGCTAACTAATTTTGAAAATAGTTGGTTTAATTAAAGAATTGCTACTTGAGGATACTTTATTCTCTTTAAAACATATCAATCTTATGAAGTTAACAGTTATTTTTTAACTAATCTCCAAAAAGAAGCTATTCTTCCTTGAAAGTGCCAATTATTTTGTTTTGATGTCTGACATCTTTAACAAATTCAAGTTTTAAGGTGTGCTTTGTAAATACCTAAATTTATATACACATGCATATGCCAGATGCTGCCCCAACCAGACAGTAAAGATATAAACATCCACCAGAACATCCCTCCATGAAGTCCTGCCAGCAAGACCATCAGCAGCAGACCTGATAGCTGCAGCAGAGCTATCGTATAGGCTCCTGTCAGCATGAATCCAGGACACGGCTACTGAGGATTACCTTCTAGTAAATCTTGACTTATACTTCTTCAGGTCAAAAACACGTTGGGTAAAAGGAAACAACAGTATAGTTATTGCCTTTCTTACTTACAGGAATGCAAATTGCTCTAGGAAATGTGATACGTACCTGTAGTCTCAAGAACTAGATTTTTAAGTGACTATTCTGTGCTCTGTAATCCACTTTTAAATTGAGATTAGTTTTACTTCTCCAGAAAATGGTCCTTATGGAGAGTTCTCCTTAGAGGCAAGCATTTCACAGGGTAAAGTGTAACTGAACTTAGAATGTCACCAAGAAATGGGGCCTTAGAATGGAGTAATTACCAGTAAGAGTGCTGTCAGATGAACACACAAAGAATCACCTTCACTACATCAAGGTGACCTATTTGACACTGATTTTAAAAATCAACTTTAAAATAGTTCAGACTAGGATTTCAACCAAACATTCCCTTCTATGGATCATAAAACACAAAGTCATTCTGGCACATGCTCTGTAATTTGTCATTTTTCAGAAAGATGTTGACTCTACTGAGTTCACAAAGGAGTTAAGGAAGGGGCTAAGACAGGAGAGTCTACACAATCTTCAGCAAAGCCACAGGTGCCCTGCTTGTCCCATGACCTGCACCCAGAGAACACTGTGACCAAATCACTTTGCAAAGAGCAAAGTGTGTGGTGGCAGTCTTCCTTCAAATCAGAATTTGTCAGAAGAAATCCAAAAATACCAGGGATGAACAAAGATTTAACACAAAATTCACCTTAAAAATGAAGACTTGCGGGGCCAGGGAGATGGCTCAGTGGAATAAGTGCTTCCCTGGCAAGCGCGAGGGCATGAGTTCAAACCCCGGTTCCGAAGGAAAAAAAAAAAAGACTTGCTAATGTTTCAGACATTCAGCTAATAATTCCTATGACTATTAAGTAAATATATAACATACTAAACAACTAATCATAAATGTACCATATGAGAATCTTTTATTGAAATATAATGTCTTACTTGAGATTACTTCGAGATAAAGATGAGTCACTATTTTAATCTTGGTAGCATCACATTAAATTATTTATTCTTCCATGCTATTACACAAGATTATTTTTGAGCTTCTACCTTTAGCAAAGCAGCAACAGCTTCCTGGGTGGCGTCACGGACATCTTCTCCATTCACTGTCAATATCTGGTCTCCCTGCATCAGCCTGCCATCAGCATCTGCAATTCCTCCTTTAACAATATCTGACACAAATACTCCAGTGTCGTTTCTGCAAACAATTTTAGTATTGATATTATTTTTCCTGAATCCTGTTTCAATGTTTATTTAGTAGCTTTTTATAATGAAAAATGTATGTCTATTTTTCAGGGTTTGTTATGAGTGCTAAGGACAAACATTAGAATATAGTTTGTAATAAATAATATAAGGATAGAACACATTGTATTTATTAGGTTGCATTGTTTTTTATCTTATTGTACTTAATAGATTGAAAAGATTTTCATAAGAATTTATTTTTTCTAAATTATACAGAATGCAAGCACAAGCACCTAAGTTCAACTCCCGGTTCCACAAAAAAACCAAAAATAGATAAAGAAATAAATTACACAGTATGACTAAAAGTGAGTACTCCTGTCCTTTTATGGGCCAGGTAGCTAGTAAATGGTAAAGATGGGATATAAGAATTAGTCCTTGGATGCTCAATTTAGTTTTCTATTGACTAAAGAGGCCTTAAATGGATACTGACCTGTGGCTACTTGTTAAAAAATATTTTTATATATATGTATTTTTTATATTTCTATCACCATTAACATCATTAAAATTATTGAAAATTTACAGATGTCTCCAAAACCATGTTACTCAAAACTAAACTATTATATATCTTTTAGTTTAAATCACTTCAACTGACTTTTATATATTAATTTACCCAAAATAAGCAAATATTAAACTATTCCACTCCTGTCATAAAACTGAACATACAAGACAAAAAAAAAAAAAAAAAACCACAAAATAAGTAAACCCACACATCTTCATGTTAATATAAAAAGTAACTAGAAATAGACAAGTGCAGTGAAAGCTGGACTACACTGCGGGCTCTTGCCAAGGCAGCACCTCCCAGGCCACTGCACCATCTGATCCTGCGCTTCCCAGTCTTCAGGGTGTTGGATCAGTGGAGCTCTCTGTATGCTCCTCCCATGCAGTATGTTAGGAACTAGTACGGGAAGTTTCTACAGTGCTGTCAGGACCACAGATACTGTGGTAGCTTATTCACCAATGAGTTTTATTGTATTTTCCAAAAAGTAAACTACTGATGCTGCATTCCTAAAAAGGAATGTCTGTTTTTAGACAGATCCTACTGAGATTCAAATAGTATGTTATATTCTTCCAGTGTTTAAAAAACATTCTAAACATTCTTCAATTGTATCTAAGAATAAATTGGTATAAATGTCCTTTGATTACCACACAGAAACAAAATGCAAAATCAGGTGAGCTTGCATTGGCTTAAAAATTTAGAAGTGCTTATTCCCAAAGTAATCTAGTCATAATTTCATAAATTGTTGGCTCCTGCTTTGAAATTGTGGATATCTGAGGCCTGAGAGTGTTGTTTTTAACTTAGTGCCACTGCAGGCTATATCACATTTTCCTAAATGTTGATTTCACTGAACTATAGCACATTCTGATCTTGATGGGTTTAGAGCACTAAAATGAAGAAAGACTTAGGCATTTAGTATTTGTTAGTATCACTTGCAATAGCATCTCTTTTCTTGGGCTTTATCCTAGCCTACATCCTTTCAAGCAGGGTTACCTGGTCTCTTTCTTCTCTGGCTGTATGGCTCCTTACAATGCATCTGCCTCTTATCAATAGATACATTTTTCTGTGAGAACGTATTTTTTTGTTCTCTAGGCTATGCATGTTTGAGGTCAGGAATCATATCTTGCTTATCTCGATTTCTCAGAATCTAATATATTTCTTGGCACACAGCAGTGACTCTACAAACACCAGAAGGCATTTGTTGGGGACTTTCAAAATCCCCCAGCAGATTGACTTAAACATCTTTCCCTGTCTGTTAGTGAATGGCCTAGGGATGGCTACATGGAGACCTCAAGCCACTGATACAGATTCTGCCACTGCTTCAGTTCTTTCCCAAAAGTCTTTGGCTTTGTTCTACCCAGGCACACCTTTTACCAACAATGCTCAACCCGAGGCCTTTTCCTGGCTTTTTCTGCAGCTCAACAGTGAGGGCATCGCACATATCCTCCTCCTTGTAGGGAGCCTCGTCTCGGTAGAGCGTCAGGTGCACTCTCTGGGGCGTCTGTCTCAGGACATTGATTGCCTCATCATGGGTGGCCTTTCTCAAGTCAATTCCATTCACCTGCACAGACACAAGACAAAGATGTTGAGGAACAGGGAATTCAGTGAAAATAGGAAGAGGGGGGAGAGGGAGAAGGAAGTAAAGAAAGAGAAATCCACCCAGCCTTGCTGTTGTTCTTAGGGAAGGAACAAGCATGCCGTACCTCTAAAATCTGGTCTCCAGCCCAGAGTCTTCCATCTTTACATGCTGCTCCTTCCTCATAAACTTCATGGATGATAATAGCACCCTAGGGACCCAAAGACAACATTCCTAGGCTTAAACCCATTCTTACCTGGGAATGACGAGAAGATATTGAGCCCAGCGACAACTAAATGAGGGCACAAGCCATAATTTAAAGAAATATACAACAATAAAACTTTTACTAAAAGACAACAAAAAACTAACATTCTCCTAAATAAGTTCAAAGAAAAAAATGAAATATAAATCACACATATCTAAATATATATATATATATATTTTTTTTTCCTATCTACAAATGAAACAATTTTATAATGTTTTCAACATTTAGAAAATGTCATCCACACATAATTCCATTTTTCAGATGCCTCTTGGTTTAGGTCTAACCTGGCCTGGATATTAGTAAAATAGAAAATTAAAATATGTCAAGAGCTGATAGACTAATAGAAATACTGTAGAAACTACAAGTTACAATCATAAGAGTAACAACTTAGTAAGTCAGTACTGGCTTACTAAAAGTAATACTCCAAGTATCCTACTGAACATGTACCATATACATCAAAATAATCATGAATTACACTTTCTCAGGCTTTATGGATCACTGAATAAAACTGACAGACATCCTCCTGCTCTGGGTCCCGCAGGGCTGCCTGAGGACTGCCGCCTGCCACAGCACTATGCCTGGCATACTCACCAGCAGTGTGTCTGACCCTCCCACAATGCTGAGGCCCAGCCCTGTGCGCCCCTTGGAAATCTCAATGGTTGTTTCACAGCCAGGGATAATGGGGCAAGTTGCAGGATCAGAAGCAAAGATTGCCGGTGTTGAAGACCTGCTTGTACCTATAGAAAGTTAAAGATGAAATAAAAATAAATACAAATTGGTTACTAGGGAGCAGAAAAACAGGCCCAAACCTGGGCACAGGGAGCTTCCTAATATGCCTTGAGTCTTTGACCATGTTTTAAAGACATTAAAACTAAGTCATCATTGTAAATTTAAAAAGTGGATATAAAATTACCTGTTTCATTTTTAAAAACTTTTTTGTATTTCGAAAATTATCAGATAGTGGCTGGGGAGATAGCTCAGTGGAATAAGTGCTTGCCTGACAAGTGTAAGGTCCTGAGTTAGATCCCTGGTATCACCAAAAAAAATTAACAAAATAAAATAAAAATAAATAAAATATCATAAAATTGTCAGATATATGAAGGATTGGTGCAGAGAAAATAAAACGTTGAATGTTAAATTTCACTTTGATGCTCTACAAAATGCATTTCTATTTCATTAGTTTGGTATCTCGGAGACAGGTGGCCTGACAAGAGACTCCTGGAAAGCAAAGAAGACTCCCTGGTTTTGGGAGAAGCATAGGTGGGTCGGGGAAGGTATGTTCTGAGGGCATTACTGGTGATTAATGTATAGCACACAGACCTCCTGCCTGCCTAACAATCCAGGAGTCTTATTCAGGAGCCCCTCTCTTTCAGCTGTTCATTTTCCAACACATTGCTTGACTAAACCCTTTGGGGCAAGGATCTCCAGGCAGGCAGCTGGCTCCCACCCAGGGACCCCCTGCTGAGTCTGCTGCAGGTACAGGACTCTCAGGAGCTCAGCCCTTACTTCGGATGGACTCTGGTTCCAACTCAGGGGAGCCAGAGTGTGGGACCACTGGCAACTGTGAGCTGTTCATTTTTTCTCCACTGGCTGCACCAGCTGCTGAAGGAGAAGTCTGGGAATCTGGAATCTCAGCATGAATGGTCAGTTTTACTGTTGTCTTTGCTGTCTTCAGCAGGCTAATAAACTGCCAAGGGATTGGTATAGAAGGGAAACAAAATTCAAAGACAAATTAGTAGACTGATTCAGACGTAAGTCACCAACATCAGTTGAATCTAAGTCTATCTGTATTATAAAAAGAAACAGAGGCCGGTGATTTCCTTCTCAGGATTTGAGTATCAAGAAAGAAATGGCTTTAGCTTTTCTGTAGTTACGCCAAATGTATAATATAGATTAAAGCCTAATTTAATAGGACTCAACCCTGAGTCCTGCTTTGAACAGATTCTTTCTTCTGTAAGTAGAGAGCTTTCAACATTTTACATGTCTAATTACTTTTATACATTTGTCTGGATCGCTATCACCATAGGTAGAAGACATGTAAGTCATTTTACCTACTTTCTGACTCTAGAAAGAACTTGAAGCAGCTTACACAAACACTGAGTACAACAGAGATGCAGAAATGCATGCATGTAAAGCAAGATGGGCAAGTTCTGCAACATAAAAATCAAGGAAAACAGAAAGGAAAAGAGATTTATAGGTTAAAGGATCCAACCTTCACAATTATTAAAACTGGATTAATAAAAAAATGGTTTTAAGCTTTCTGCTAGCCAATAGAGAAATATAAGTATAGAAGTCAGATGGTTTTCTCTCACTATATGGAAAAAAAAGGAACAGCACATTTCAGGGAAAAAAGGGTTTTCCTTTGACAGTTATGTATGACTCGAAGTACTATCATTTTTGAGGCTAAGACTCAGATACAAAGAACCTTTCAAAACTAATACCCATATAATAGCTAATACCCAACTAATACCCATAAAATAGAAATCTTTTTCAAAGGCAAACTATTAGATAGACATATATGAAAATAACCATTCTGAAGAAAAGTAACCCTCTGGCCCAATATGAAGTAGCCCCTATCTATAAATTTCAAGTTTTCTGTAAGGAAAAATGGAAGTCACATTTATCAGAAATTTTCAGTGAATACAGAAAAATCTATCCAAACAATAGTATCTCAGCTTTGCCTTCATTAAAAGTAAAAATAGGAATTGATGGCTTCCTAATACTGTCTCCTTTTCCCTAAGCACAGCTCTAGCGCAGGCGCCCAGCCCTACTTCCCTGTGACTTTCTCCTCAGACACCACTTCAGCCACGTCCAAGGAGGGTGATGGCACCACTCAGTCTGTGTGGAAAAGTACCTTTTCAATGGGACAGCCAATAACAACTTCATCATCGACAGCTAAGATCTGATCTCCAACTTTGAGGCGTCCATCCTAAATGGAAATGCAGTTGATTCTCAGTGACTTTCAGAAGCAATGCCCGTTCCCACCACTTCAGGACAGTGAGAGTGGCAGAGCCTCACCCTGGCTGCCACCCCACTCTCTGCTAAACTCTGTACGACGACTCCATTGAGCGTGTCTTCCTCACTGACAGCAATGCCCAAAGCCCCTTGGTCCTGCAGAAAGAGAAACAGGAGTACAGTACTAAGAAGACTTGGGAAAGATTAGTTGTATCTAATGAAGAGGCATGTACCTATAGCTATTAAACATACTCTTCTTTCAAGAGCTACAAAAGCAACTGAAACTCAAAGTTCACTATTAGAAATCTCTTCTTAAGCAAACTTCCACATTTTTCCAAAGAAAAAATTTTCCATCAGTTAAGTGATTTCATCCTCCCATATGTCTGACACCTTTAGCAACTTTGGCAAAATATCCAGATAGCAAAAATGTATTCAATAATTCATCTAAAACATTTAGCGCTTGCAAAATTTATAGTCTTGTGTAACTGGCTATCTCAATTAACCATTCAAAGACAACTAAAGTATCCTGCTTCCTCTCTTCTGGTCTGGGATTTAGAAGTAACAAACCACGTCTGACTCCTTCATGCTTTTCTGCCATACTTCCTCTTCCACAAGAAAGATGCAATTACTGGTGTATACTCTGCCCTTTCTGGGATGGAGCACAAAGAGAAAATTCTCAAAGGAGAAGTATTTTGCTACAGAATTAAAACATCTCTGAGCCAAGACACATGCCCTGGAAACTGGCCAAGGCCAGAGCACTACACCTACTTGGTTTTTTTCTCCCCCGTACTTTCTTTTATCAAAACCATATGTTCAGTAATAGCTGTTCTTACTTTTCTTTAATGTTTATTTTAATAAAATTAAAACAGAGTTTAGAATTTTCATTCTGGCCACAGCTTGTAACATTTTACATTACAGTTTTCATCTAGGAAAAATTTGGAAAGGAAAAATACAGAAAAAGGAATCCTGGCATGATTTCACTGAAACTCACACAGGAGCAGAGGTCACCCTTGGACAACCACTGTCATGGCAATGTTATTTCAAAGATGATCGACACGGGCTTTTCTGAGCAAGGTTATTAATGCCTGCTGTACTTCAGATGGTCACTGGACAAGGCCCTTTACCTCCTTCCTTTGGCCAACTAGGCAGAGTGTAAGACAAAGCAGACTCTTTAGGTTTCTATTTTATTTTGTACCTGGCTGAAAAAAATTAAATATGCCACTTTACATCTCTATACTTTAAGTGCCTTACCCAGAAAAATCAAACTTTTTAATCTAAAAAAAAGCAATAATAATACCTGATAGTCATAAAGGCCCTTTTATGACACAGCAGACATTTGCTGATCTCGTCCCTAGTACTCATTATCACCTTACCATTCTGTAAAATGACCAGCACTTCATTAGACTACCCATGCGCAGCCCTGCCACCCCAACACCTGACCCACCTACCCTCTCCCTCTATCTCGCCCCTTCATGCTTTCTCAGCTTACCTCCTCCTCCTCCATGTACTAGGAAGGTGACAGTAGCAAGACGGCAAAAGCAACCATGTGCTGGGCTGGACTCACTAATTTATCCTAACAGCATAAAGCAGAAGTGATGGCAGGTAATTTCAGAGGTATGCAAAAAGAGGCAGCAGAATTTACTTCTTGCTCTTTTCTTCTCTGCAATCACTTATTGTGTGACAAGTCAGCCACTGTGTCATGGAGACAGGCAAGCAACTCCATGTAAAGAAATTATGGCTTCTTCCCAACAGTAAATTCATGAAAATCCCACTGGGAGTGATGTACAGCTCCAGGGAAACATTCAGGTAGGCTGCACTCTCGGGGCCCCTCCAGACCCAGCCCAAGCCCAGGTCCCATGAGTGTGTGAGAGAGCTTCCACGCTACCCTGCACCTGCTGGACCTCTCCGGAACAAGCCCAAGCCCAGCGCATAAGTGAGACCTTCCACCACGCTCTCTGGACCCCTCCACCCTTCTAGAGCCAGCCCAAGCCTTCCACGTGAGAACTTCCGCTGCACTCTTGGGACCCCTCCAGACCTAGCCCAGGTCTATCGTACAGGCCTGGGGTGAAACTCTGCAGCTGAATTCCCTGTAGAGAGACCAGGGGCCAGAACCACCCAGCTAATCTAGGAGCAGAACATATTGCCAGAGGGGCACAACAGGTTCACTTCCAAGGGCTGCAGCAGGAAGGAACTGAGTATAGCAGCCAGACCCAAGCCAGGCACAACTGGATGAATTCAAACTTTGTAGAACTGCAACAGAATTTCAGTAGGTGCTAAGGTTATAACTGCACCATAACTCTACACCAAAAGTCAGAGGATAGTGCTATACAAAATGACAAAGAGAAAGAGTAAAATGCAATCTCAGATCCCAATCCCACCCAGAACAAGTGCAGAGGACACTAGCACAGAAGGAATTGGGAATCACACAGCGTAAATGTCTCAATCAATAGCATCTGAATAAAAGAAGCAACTGCAGAAAGGTATACAGGAACTCAGATTAGAAATAACTGCTGAAATAAAAAAGGAAATCTCTGAATTAATAGTGTCTGAAGTAAAGAATCAAATGCAGAAACATATAAAGGAAATCAGATCAGAAATAATCTCTGTAGTAAAAGAATTAATAACTGCTTCTCAAGAGGGCACTGATAAAAAAACGAGATTAGAAAAACGACAGATTGCTTGAGTGAGCAAAACAGGAAAGAAATACATTGCATGAAGCAGAGACAAAGAGATATAGAGGAACTTAAAATCTCAATCACAAGTTTGCAAAACTGATTGAAAGTGAAGACAGACTTTCAGATCTTGAAGACACCATCACAACTAGTTAAAAGGTAAGAAAAGATCTCTTAAAAAAAAACTAGGATGCAGGAAAAAATAATTAATCACCTGGAAGATGATGCAAAGATGAACAATGTGAAACTAATAGGCATCAATGAGAGGGAAGGAGTCAATACACATGATATAAAAAGAATATAGATGGAAGTAATAGGAGAAAACTTCCCAAATATGAAGAAACAATCTGACATTCAGGTATGCAAAGCATACAGAACGCCAAATAACTTCAACCCAATTAAAAATGCATCAAGACATATAATAGTCAAGATCCAAGAAATCCAGCACAAGAACAATAGACTGAAAGCTGCTAGAGAAAAGAAACAGATCACATTAAAGGAAAACCCATGAGAATAACGGCCGACTTCTCTTCACAAAACATGCAGGCAAGAGGAGCATGGAGCAGAGTACTTCAAGTCCTCTATGAAAACAAATTCCAGCCCAGACTACTATACCCTGAAAAACTCTCTTTCAAGTTTGATGGAGAAATGCAATACTTCCATGACAAAGAACAGCTAAAGAATTTCATGATGACAAAGCCAACCCTACACAGACTACTAAAAGATGTTCTAGAGAGGGACCAAAATGATCAGAATGCCATGAATGAGAAAAGAAGGAACCCACTAAATATGGCAAACAATTAAACACAGGAGAAAAAGGAGTAACAACAGCACGTAAATAACATGCCAATTGTAAGTCAATACATCTCAATTATAACAATCAATGTAAATGGACTCAATTCACCAATTAAAAGAAACAGAGCAGCACAGTGGATTAGGAAACAAAATCCAACAATCTGCTGTATACAAGAAACACACTTAACTTATAAAGAAATTCATAGGCTGAAAGTCAAAAGATGGAAAACAATACTACATGCCCCAGCACCTCAGAAAAAAGCAACAATAGCAATCCTGTTCTCAGACAGTCTCAACTTCAAACCAAGAATGATCAAACGAAATAAAGATGGCTACTATATACTGGTTAGGGGAAATATTCAAGAGGAAGATGAAACAGTCATAAATATGTACACACCAAACACGAGAGCATCCAACTATATAAGACAAATCTTAATGGACATGAAAAATCTAATATTCAATACCACAATCTTAACAGGAGACCTTAACACCCACTTATCCCAAAAAGATAGGTCAAGCAGACAAAAAATTAGCAAAGTAGGAGAACTAAAACAGAGCTTGGAACAAATGGACTTCGTAGACATATACAGAGTGTTCCACCAAACTACAGCTAAATACACATTTTTCTCAGCTGCACATGGGTCATTTTCTAAAATAGACCACATACTGGTGGTCCATAGGTCATGCTTAAGTATATGCAAGAAAATAGAAATAATCCCATGCATATTATCTGACCACAGTGCAATGAAAATGGAAATAAACGGCAAAAGAAACCAGAAAAACTCACTAAATACATGGAAATAAAACAACACTCTACTCAGCAACCAATGGCTTGCAGATGAAATTAAACAAGAAATTCAACAATATCTACAATTCAATGAAAGATGAAATACAACTTACGAGAATTCATGGGATGCCATAAAAGCAGTACTCAAAGGGAAATTTATAGCTGTGAACTCATACATTAAGAAAACAGAATGGGAACTAATAAACACCCTAACGATGCACCTCCAACATCTAGAAAAGAAAGAGCAAACCAAACCCAGAGCCCAAAGATGGGAAGAAATCATAAAGATTAGAGCAGAAATTAATTCAGTGGAGTCAAAGAAAACAGTTCAAAGAATTAATGAATCAAAAAGCTTTATTTAATCTTTGAAAGATTAAATAAAGTCAATAAGCCTCTAGCTAAACTCATCACAAAGAGTAAAGAAAACTAAAAAAGAGAACTATAGGCCAATCTCCCTCATGAACATAGATGCAAAAATCCTCAATAAAATCCCAGCAAATAAAATACAGCAAATCATTAAGAGGATTATATATCATGACCAGGTAGGATTCATTCCAGGGATTCAAGGATGGCTCAATAAAGGAAATCTATAAATGTAATACACTATATCAATACAGCCAAATCTAAAAACCACATGATAATTTCAATTGATGCAGAAAAGGCTTCTGATAAAGTCCAAAACTTATTCATGGTCTTACAGAAAATTGGAATAGATGGCCTCTACTTCAATCTGATAAAAGCCATCTATGAGAACACAAAGGCTAACATAATTCTAAGTGGGGAAAAACTGAAGTCGTTTACTCTCAGATCTGGTACAAGACAAGGATGTCCTCTATCACCACTCCTATTCAGTATAGTTCTGGAATCATTAGCTACAGCTATTTGACAAGAGAAAAAAATAA